AAATTTTCTCATCAAGTTACAACAATAGTTGCGGTACAGTAAAGTTTCGGTTTTCCCAGTGATCTAGGCTTTTGACTCTGGTGTTTTTGTTGTTGTTTGTTTTCCTTTTTAGGAAAGTTCCTTTATAAAGAAAGTGATTCAGATTCTGGAAAGAAACAATGATTTCTTGGCAGGGACAAAGGAGAGATCAAAGGTGAGATTGTAATATGATAAAAGCTCAATTTAACCAAATCAGTATTGTCCCTGGAACTTAGGAAATTTCTTTTCTAAAATGAAAACTCTTCCCATAATCTCAAAGGTATGTGCATTTAATTTTTTGGTAAAAATGAATGAGTAAACAGAGTCTCATGAGCAGTTTTACAAAATTACTCAAATAACGCATGCTTAATTTCTTGCTCTCTCTTTAAAAACTCTGGTGGATTTGGCAAGCGCGCATCACATGAAACCTTAACAGAAAAAGCTTGAGAGAATTCCAGCAACTGCTAATGAATTTTGTAAATTTTTTCTGGATTGTAGTTTTGCCTTTTAAGGGCTATTGGTTTTATTAATTATCCCCAGTTGCAAAGCTATTCCATCCTATGCCCAATAGGAAGAACCCTGGTTTCATACAATGCTTTGCAATCGCCAGGGGATGAGTTGAATTTATGGGTTCACGAGCAGACACGTGGAGCATGCACAGTAAGCTTCAGCCTCACTGTCTTGATAGTCACTGGCTCATGTTCAAGAGTGAGGAGCTTGAGAAGGTAAGATACCTACTTGACTAACACAGATCTTATTTCTGTGTCATAAGGAAGAAGGACATGGCATTATTTCTTCTCCAAGGAAGAGTACTTTTTTCCGCCAGAAAGTGGTTTCCCTACCAGGACCATTTTCTTTCTTCTGGTACTTCCTACCTCCATAGGAACACTTTTGGTTGCTACTATTTAGCAAACAGGGGACTTAATAGCAGTCTCAGGAGGTTATGAAAGGGATCTGCCTTTTGCAAAGGAAATGGGTTAATATGAAGAGAAAATGGCCATGTTTTCCTTGGGTCCTCTCTGGTCTGTAGCTGCGGAGAATCTCTTCTGACCTGGAGTTCAGGGACCTCCTTGAGTTCAGGGAGCAATCTTCACAGTCAGGAGAATTTGACTAGATTTAATGCTGATTCTACTCCAATTCCCAGCCTCTGATTCAGTCATATGCGTTCTCTTGTTCTACCATGTCTGTGCCCTCCCATCATTAAACCTGAGTTCTGGATAAGTGTCTCTAATCTTTGAAAAAGAGATGCTGTTAAAATATTTATGAAGTACCCATCCATGTTCTTCGGGAACAACGGGCCTGCAAAGTTCTGCAACGGAATGTCATGTCCTGTTTGATGCTTCCAGCCTTCCCGCTTACTTGGTGCCCTGGTACCTGCTGTCTTGAGCTTATCCTGAGATTCCCAGCCCAAATCTTATACAGCTGGGCTCTTCCTTCTGGGATGATGGGCCCGTGAGGGAAGCCTACGTCAGTGCTTGCCGAAGGGTGGTTCCAGGGCTGCTTGAGTCAGAGTCATGTGGGATGGCTATTAGATTCTCAGAATTCTCTCCCTCACATCCCTACAACGTAATCCCCTGAATCATATTCCCTGAAGATTACAGTCCAAGAACCAGCATTTAAGCAAGCTGTTCAGAACACTGAGATTAGAAAGCATACCAGAACATGAGCCTGAGATACAATGTAGTATATAATTACATGTTATATAATCTCAGGCTTATAATTGGATAATGGAGAGAGCAAGGGAATTCCAGAAAAAACATCTGTTTCTCTTTCATTGACCACACTAAAACCTTTGACTGTGTGGATCGCAACAAACTGTGGAAAATTCTTAAAGAGGTGAGAATACCAGACCATCTTACCTGCCTGCTGAGAAACCTGTATGCAGGTCAAGAAGCAAGAGTTAGTGCTGGACATGAGACAACACACGGGCTCAAAATTTTGAAAGGAGTACGTCAAGGCTGTATGTTGTCACCCTGCTTATTTAACTTACATGCAGAGTCATCAAGCGAAATGCCGGGCTGGATGAAGCACAATCTGGAATCAAGATTTCTGGGAGAAGTACCAATAACCTCAGATATGCAGATGACACAGGTGACACCACCCTTGTGGCAGAAAGCAAAGAGGAACTAAAGAACCTCTTAATAAGAATGAAAGAGGAGAGTGAAAAAGTTGACTTGAAACTCAGCATTAGAAAAACTAAGATCATGGCATTCCCATCCCATCACTTCATGGCAAATAGAAGGGGAAAAAGTGGAGGCAGTGACATTTTATTTTCTTGGGCTCCAAAATGACTGTGGACAGTGAATGCAGGCAAGAAATTAAAGGACTCTTGCTCTTTGGAAGGAAAACTATGACAAGCCTCAATGGCATATTAAAAAGCAGAGATATCACTTTGCTGATAAAGGTCCATATAGTCAAAGCTATGGTTTCTCCAGTAGTCATGTACAGATGTGAAAGTTGAACCATAAAGAAGGCTGAGTGTCAACAGAATTGATGCTTTTGAACTTTGGTGCTGGAGAAGGTTCTTGAGAGTCCCTTAGACAGTAAGGATATCAGACCACTCAATCCTAAAGGAAATCAACCCTGAATATTCACTGGAAGGACTGATGCTGAAGCTCTAATGTTTTGGCCACCTGATGCGAAGAGCCAATTCATTGGAAAAGACCTTAATGCTGAGAAAGATTGAAGGCAAAAGGAGAAGGGGGCAGGAGAGGATGAGATAGTTAGATAACATCACCAACTTGATGGACATGAATCTGAGCAAACTTCAGGAGATAGTGAAGGACAGAGTAGCCTGGTGTGCTGCAGTCAATAGGGTCGCAAAGAGTTGGACATGACTTAGCAACAAAGAGAATTACTAGCATATCTTCACTAAAAGAAATTCTAAAGAAAGTTGTTCACAGCGAAGGATATTCAACATAGATGGAAACCCAGAAATACAGAAAGAAATGCAGAAGAATGGAAAGTGAATTTTGTGAGCAAGTATAAATGGATGTTGAAGGTATAAAGCAATAGTAATATATGATGGGATTTAAAATATACTTGTGATTGAAACACAACAATAACACTGAAGCTTCAGAAAGCGAATGGAATTCTTAATTCTTAGTGTTATCAGGGAATTAGTAAAAATAATAAGTTAAATTAAATTGTATAAAGCAGGAATGCATATTTTAACTTTTGGGTTACTTCTAAAGAAATAATAAAAAGAATTTGTAATCAACAAAAAAAGAGAAGGAAAAGCATAACAAAATATTTGACTGATTTAAATCAAGAAAAAAAAGAAGGAAAGTAACTTATTTAAAGTCCACCTTCAAGGAACCCCATGCTGCCCTACAACGGTATATATATGTACTTCTATTTTTCCTGTCCTGGAATTTGTGCTGATACATTTTAGTTATTCGTGTGGTATGGCCGCTATGATAGGAATATATTTTGGTTACTTTTACTTTAAATAATCAGTTATCTCTTTTAGAGATGTAACTGATAAACAAGAAAGTGCTGTTTGTACTCACCCATGCAGTGAGCATCCGGATACTGTCACACATTTGTGTAGGTCCAGCTTCCATCAGGACCATCTTTTCCTTGCTTGAAGGACATCTTTAACATTTCTGTCATGTGAGTTTCTTTACGATGAATTATTTCAATTTTAGTACATCTTGAAAGTGTCCTTATGTCTCCTCGGTGTTTGAAAGATCTTTTCAGGGAGTAAAGAACTCTAAGTTGACAATTTTCTTTCAGGATTTGAAAGCCGTGTCTTTCCTGTTGTCTAGTTTACCCTGATGCGGATAGAAAATCTCCTGTCATCCTTTCCTTTGTTCTTCTGTACCTAAAGCACCTTTCTTTTTCCTCTGGCTGCCTTTAAGATTTACTTCTTGGAACTGTGAGTTCACAGTTTTCATCAGACTTGGAGACTCTTTGGCTGTTGGTACTTCAAAGGACTTTTCTGTTCCCTTCCCCCATCTTCTCCGGAGACTCCAGTCAGATGTGCATTTGAAGACTTAACATTGTCCCACCATTCATTTATTTTAAAATTCTCCTTTCTCCTTGGCTTTCTTTTATATATATATAATTTTCAGTGTCTAGATTCTCTGGCTTTTCTTCTGCAATGTCTAATCTTTTATTACCGCCACCCATTTTATTTTTTATGTGATTCCTAGGACTTTTACACCTCCAGAAGTTCGATTTGGGTGCTTTTTCACTCTGCGTTGTTCCTGTAGGCTCTTGACCACGTGGTGCACCGTCTGACCTCTGTTTGACCGTATCGGTGACATTTTTGATGGACTGACTTTTCCCTTCCTTGAGGTTTCTGCTTCTCTGAGGGCCTGGTGGGTTTTTGACTGGATGTCAGATGTGAATTCTACCTTGATTGATGGTTCGTTTTATGCTCCTGCAGTTTCGTGTGCTTGAAGGCAGTCAGAGTAGCCAGAGACAGCATGGTCCTTTCAGAACTTGCCTGTGGAAAAGGAACTAATTTGGGTCATTTGTAGTGATGTGGATGAACTTAGACTTTGTCGTACAGAGTGAAGTAAGTCAGAAAGAGAAGAGAAAATATTGTATATTAATGTGTATATATAGAGAGAGAATCTAAAAAACATGGTACTGGTACTGATGAACCTATTTGCAGGGCAGAGATACAGACATAGAGGACAGGCTTGCGGACACAGGGGAAGGGGAATGTGGAACAAATTGGGAGAGTAGGATTGACTTATTTACACCATCGTGCGTAAGACAGACAGCTAGCGGGAAGCTGCTGGGTAACAGATAGCTCAGCTCAGGGCTCTGTGATGACCTGGGGGGTGTGACGGAGGATTAGGAGGGAGGGGATATGGATGCATGTAGCTGATTTATTCACGTCATTCACACAGCAGAAACTAACACAACATCAGAAAACAATTATCCTTCAATTAAAAAAATTTAAAAAAAAAAAACCGGCTTGTAAGCTGATCCGGGTGGGATCAGCAGAGTGTCCAGCATCCAGTTGCTTAGCCGTGGCCCTTCCTATTTGTCTGGTGGATGTCCCACGACCGTGAGACGTTGCACTCTGGCTGGCGGGCACAGGACGGGATGCCGTCCGCCCCAGTCCTGCTGGGTCCTGTAGCCCTGCGTTCCGGTCGTTTGCTCACACACGGGCTGATCACTGCTCGCTGAGAGCCGACCCCCCATCCCTTGAGCTCCGCGCAGCCTGGTTTCCGTGAACTCATAGCCGGCCCCTCGGTGTGGGCTCGGCTGGCCCCTCCCTGGGCCTCACACTGCCTGTGGACAACGAGCTGAGAGACGGGTCACAGGGACCAGCGCCCTGCCTCTCACATGGCTCTGCCCTTCGCTGCCTCACGTCCAGTTTTCTAGACGCTGCTGTTCCTATTCTGCAATAACCAATACGGGAAAAGAATCTGAAAACGAATAGATGCATGTGACCAAGTCACTCTGTGAGCACCTGAAGCTAACATACCACGTTGTAAATCAACTCTATTCCAGTCTGAAATAAAAAATAAACATTGTTTAATATTGTGTGTCAGTCTTTTTTTTCTCCTTGGGCTAGAGAGTTAATCCAGGTCTTGTTATTTCATCTAGACTGAAAGTAGAAATCTCACCATAAATAATTTGTTAAATAAAGGAAAACCGGGGCAAGCGTTTGCAATATACCACTGTAATAGAGGAATAGGGTTAATATTCTTCCCATTAAACAAGCTTTTAGGACCATGACAGCATATTTAATCATAAAAAGAAACAAAAAACATAGCGTTTATAAATGGTCTTTTGAGAGAGGTTGAAATGCAAATGGCCAAAGGGCAAAAAGAAAAATGTTCCACCTTAATGATGTTTCAGTAAATAAAATGTACACATAAATGAAATCCTGTTTTTCTCCATCTCACCATAGCGATGAGTGTGCTGATACCTGCTGCTGAAGAAAAGTGAAACTCGCTCAGTCGTGTCTGACCCTTTGCAGCCCCATGGATTGTGGCCTGCCAGGGTCCTCTGTCCATGGGATTCTCCAGGCAAGGATAGTGCAGTGGGTTTCCATTCCTTTCTCCAGGAAGGTGAAAGTGAAAGCCACTCAGTCATGTCTGACTCTTTGAGACCCCATAGACTGTATTCTCCAGGCCAGAATCCTGGAGTGGGTAGCCTTTCCCTCCTCCAGGAGATATTCCCAACCCAGGCCTCCTGCATTGCAGGTGGATTCTTTCCCAGCTGAGCCACCACGGAAGCCCAAGAATACTGGACTGGGCAGCCTATCCCTTCTCCAGGGGACCTTGCTGACCCAGGGAATCCAGCTGGGATCTCCTGCATTGCAGGAGTATTCTTTAGTAGCTGAGCTACCGGGAAAGCTGTTGATGAGGAAAGGGGCAATCTTACACGATGCTCAGGAGAAAGTGATGTGGTACCCTTTTGGTTATACATGCATTCATAGCCAAATATATACATATATATACACACACACACACATGTTTGGTGCTATGTATATGTATATATCGGAGAAGGCAATGGCAACCCACTCCAGTGCTCTTGCCTGGAAAATCCCGTGGAAGAAGGAGCCTGGTGGGCTGCAGTCCACGGTGTCACCAGGAGTCGGACACGACCGAGGGACTTCACTTTCACTTTTCACTTTCAGGCATTGGAGAAGGAAATGGCAACTCACTGCAGTGTTCTGCCTGGAGAATCCCAGGGATGGGGGAGCCTGGTGGGCTGGTCGCACAGAGTCGGCACGGCTGAAGCGACTTAGCAGCACAGCGTATGTATATATACACACATATATTTGGCTATAAATGTGTATATGTTTTAAGTTTTAAAATGTGATTTCCCATTGGTCTAATTCTTCCTACTGGAATTTCTTCTAATGAAAAGAAAGCCAAGTTCACATTACAAGGATGACATTAAAACTTTGTAGTAAAAATCAATTTTGAAATTCTCTTGTCCAAAAGTAATACTTTCAATAAATAAGGTGTGGTATATCCATGAAACAAGATACTATGCTGCTATTAAAATAAACATGCCTATATAGTTTTTTTTTTAACACGGAAAACTTTGTTATATAATAATGGATGAGAAGACCAACATTCAAACAAAATTGTGACATGATCCCATTTATAAAAATGTGTGTGTCTGTGTATCACTGTGTGTGACTGTATATGTGAGTGTGATTGTGCATGGGTGTGAGTGGATACACATGTCTAAATGAGTCTGTGTATGACTGTGATGTTTATTGTGTGTGAGAATACATATGAGAATGTGGGAGTGCATGTATTTCAGGATGTGTTTTATCCTCTTTATTCTTTGTCTTCATTTTTCAAAATGTTTTTATAATGAGCATGCATTTCTTTCTAATCAGAGATAACCATAAAGATCTTCCTCAGGGAGAAAATTATGTTTATACACACAGAGCACTGCACTTTAAGGAGACCTAAGCTTAGTAGTTCAGTGGAAATATAACCTTGGAGAAGGATGGGGTTGTCTTAGTCCCTAATTTTAAGGACAAAATGTCGGTTTCAGAAAGGTTAGATGCATAAGTCAGTACAGATCATTAGAGAACAAAAGCTTATGTTTGGAGAAAGAACAAAGTTATTGATCTTAGAGGATGCAAACGGCCCTGTCTGAGCATCTGCCCTCCCCACTCCACTCCATCGTCTAAAGGCAATCTGGAAAAACTTTTTTATTTTTTTGGACATTGTTTCCATTGTCCAAAAGGTCCAAGGCTTCCCAGGTGGTGCTAGTGGTAAAGAACCTACCTGCAATGCTAGAGACATAAGAGATACGATTTTGATCCCTGGGTTGGGAAGATCCCCTGGAGGAGGGAGTGGCCACCTACTCCACTATTCTTGCCTGGAGAATCCCATGGACAGAGGAGCCTGGCCGGCTACAATCCATAGGGTCACAAAGAGTAGGACACGATTGAGGCAACTTAGCAAGCAGCATGCAGGTCCAATTCAAGACCGTCACTACGGGGCTGGCGAGCTCTGCACGCTGGCTCTGTGTCTTCATGAGCTGTGATGAGACAGCGTGCATTAAGCACACAGAGTGGCCCTGACCTTAGTCATCAGGCAACATCACCACTAGTTACAGCGTAAGACCCCAGGCAGTGACCCCTGCATGCAGGCTTTCCACAATCAGAGGTTTGTCTGGTTTCTATCAGCAGGACTGCTGACTTGCAAATAGTGGTTCCTGCGGTAGGAGGTATGAACATGTGCTCCAGTTGAAAGAATTAGGGCAGGGAGTTTATACTCCCCTCCCCAGAGTTTCTGATTCTCCTTCCCCCAAAGTTGTCAGAGCTCATGGCCTCAGGGGCGCGGAGAACTGTGTTTGTATGGCACACCACCTCTACTCCGAGCGTCCCGCACACTGGGGCGTGACTCAGCACGTTGCTGGGTTCTTCCGTGCAATGAGGAGTCCTTAATCAATACTTCATCTCACCATGTTCCTGGCCCACCCATCCATCTTTTTCACTTCATATCGAAGGGGGGTTCCTGGTAATTTTATCAGATATTTATTTTCCTTCCTGCTCTCCAAACAGCTGGAAAGTCCAAGAATCAATCAACCCATAAAGCAAATAGTCAATAAAGTCTTTACCCAGTGGCGGCTCCTGGTTTTCTATATAATAGAGGCTTGTTCTGGTGGAAGGATGTGAGACTGGACAGGCGCTCCTTTTGAAGTCGTGAGCACATTGTCTTTACCAGGACTGAAGGCTTATCGAGGTTGCCTGGGTGCAGGGGTTTGAGCGGGTCAAGCGGGGCCACCTGCCTCTTTCACTCTCTCTGCTGCAGCTCACCGTGGTGCCCGGAGGATCAGCACAGGGCAGGGAAGACAAAAGCAAGTCAGAAAGCAAGCGCGGGCTGTTTAGGACCCGCCAGAGGAGGGTTTTTGGGTGCATCTTGGTCCTGTGCCTGTTCGGCAAAAGTGCTTGATCTCGCGCACATGGTGTCTCAATAAGATGGGTAAATACAGGCATCACTCTCCCTGACGTTCCGTGAGGTTGCCACAATGGCACGTTTATCAGGGCCTGAACACAGAGCAAGCTGAGTGTGAATCATGCCCAGGACATCATGCCCAGCGGCGTTCAGCTTCTCTATTTTGAGTCTCACAGTCCTGAGCCATGGAGAGAGCTGTGATTCCATAAACTCTGTCCTGATAATTCCTCCCAGAGCCCCCATGAGAAGCATGGGTGGCGAACGTCACTGTCCTCATCGCTCCAGACGAGAGACGTGGTGTCAGTCTCTCGACTGGTAGTCTTGATTCTATATCCCAGGCGTGGGATGGGGAGATGCCCTGGGACCTGGGGCAGCCCCCTGCTTCCCGCCCTCCGCCCCACTCCCCCACCACCCATCTGTGGGGATCCCAGGTGGATAAGGAGACCCTGGGCTGTCCTGCTGAAGTCAGGTGCAGGCTAAGAGGCAACACGGCCATGGTCTCAATCACAGAGGGATTGATTCAGCAAAGATGCTGTGAAGGTAATCTATGGACAGTGAGGAGTCAGAGAGAATAATGGTCAATAAACAGCCACTGCAAACTCTTCCAACATTGGACTTTGGGGAGAATAGCAACCAGCCTTTCTGAGCTGCTGCTACCCCTGGAATTGTGATGAAAGCATTTATGCATCTTCTCTTGGCAGCGACGTCTATTGCGGAGCATCTGCCAGGGAGTCTTTCCTCCCCTGTTAGTTTATTCTTGGGAGCAATAAATGCAATGAGATTACGTTAATGTCTTTATTGGACGAAGAAACCTTTCTTAAAAGCCAGAAACAAAACATCTAATGAACTCTCAAGAAGGATGGATAAAAGTAATTTTCTATAGATTCTTCAGGTTATCATGTATCTCTCCAATTTTAGGAAACGATTTGAAGCAGATTATGATCACTTTATCACAGAATCATCCCAGGCAAAAAGTAAAACAAAGCGCAGAGAACACAGGAATGTAAATCACTGACCACGGATGGCGCAGTCGTAAAGATCCCATCTGCCAGGGCAGGAGGCGCAGGAGACACCGGTTTGATCCCTGTTTGGGGGAGACCCCCTGGAGCAGGGCATGGCAGCCCACTCCAGCGTTCTTGCCTGGAGAGTCCCAGGGACAGAGGAGCCTGGTGGGCTACACGCCATAGAGTCACGAAGAGTCAGATAGGACGGAGCGAGTGAGCACACAACACGCATGCAGAGAGGACAGGAGTCCAGTTTACTGACCGCAGCGTAAAAAGAAAACAGATGCTGACCCTAAGCTCTTCTTACGCAGCAGTTCTCTGATTCAGGATGAGCGAAGCCGCCAAGCAA